TTTAAAATTTGAACGGTGAAAATCGGCTGAAAATTGTGGAAGTAGTTAAGTGCCAAAAAGTGTACGGAAGTATCAAGAGGAACTCAATAGTGTGGATGCTTAAAGTCAAAGACTAGCAGTCCTGTTGCTCTATTTTCACCTGTAAAGCAGGAGTGCGGTCGGTGGAGGTTCACCCTGGTGCAGGTGTGCCGCGGCGGTCAGTGGAAGAATCCGCGAGTTTCTCTGTGAATTTCCCATTACGTCGTTGCGCACTTGGTGCTTGCTTGGAAGTTTAGGGGGGTTTTTTCGCTGTAAAAAGAAGTTTTCTTCCCACGCACAATGGACGGTAATGTTTTTGTCACTTTTTATGGAATCAAACTTAAAGTAAGGTCAGTACTTCCACGCTTTAAACGCTGCACGGTCATACTCTCTCCCGCACTCGATATATTATCCACTGTTGATCTGCACACAGCTGTTGTCACGAACGTCGCATACGTCACTGTCATGAGACATTCTCGCAAAAAACTCACAGTTTTAGTAACGCAGTAACGCAGCGGGAAAGTAACGGTAATCTAATTACCGTTTTTGTCATAGTAATCCCTTACTTTACTCGTTACTTGAAAAAAGTAATCGGATTACAGTAACGCGTAATGCGATTTACTTGCATCTATTTGAAAGAGTGAGTGTAAACACACACAAAAAATTATTTTAATGTGCTGTTACAAGTAATGTGTTACTGCCCATCTCTTGTCACTGATAAGAGAGAGATATACTGATACCGTGTTTTTCAACTTTTAGGAATGATAAACGCTTCTTCTTAAAGACTCAGAACAAAAGGGAAATTAAGTTCCTTCTGGGAAACCTGAAGATCTACATGGAGCACCTGAGGAAATACCCACATTCACTGCTGGTCAAGTTTTTAGGTACCACACACACAGACTGAGAAATATCTCTGTACATCACTCAGGCACACAGGTACAATCCTCAGGGTCCGGTCAAACCTCCACATTAGACTGGATGCTTTTGTTCACAGTGTTACAGTATAGTGGGCACATTTTAAGAGTCCAGAGTCTGGCTGGCTCAGATGCTGGCCGTTCTCACTGCAGTCTACCGGTAGCGTCTCCTTTTAGGCCAGGATAGACAAATGTCACCGAGCAGTGACTAAGTTTGTGGTAAAAGGCTTGCCCCCGATTTTCGGTAAGTGAATGTGTTTAATTGTAGGCAGGGACATTACTGGATATTCTTGTGTAATTGCTACAGAATAATGATAAATGGCCTGTATTTATATAGCGCTTTACTAGTCAAAAATAAACCTGCCCCGGGGCCTACCACAGCACTTTCACACCTGTGCCATGATACACAAATAATAAAATGCCATCTTGGATGACATTTACCCTGCACTCGTCCTTTGTATATCTTGGCACAGGCATAATATCTCTGTGGTAGTCCTATCAGAGCAGAAAACACTTGCAGCACACCTACAGCTTTCTGATGAATGATCCCTTTTTTTCAGTGCAATGTTAAACAAACTCTACAGGGGAAATTCCACCGAAAGCCTTTTACCTTCACAATGACACATTTTTCTTTGTTGCAGTTTGATTTTTACCTCGTTGAAATTGCAGCAACAATTAAACAACAGAAATTAGCTCCCTATTATAAATACACCAAACAGTGGGCGAGTGAAAAGCAGAGGCCCGTGGCTTCATAAATACGATATTTATCATCTGTTGAGCCCACTAGTTTCCACTATTGTGCTGCTTTTAACTTGTATTAACAAAAGAGGTCAGCTAGCTTCTTATTGTTTTAGGATCTCATGAGAAATGAAGGGAACTTCGTTTTTGGGTAGGACCTCTTTGTTCATAATTTTAAATATCAAGCACTTTTCTATGCAAACATAGCCAGTAAGAAGTGCCTGGAAAATAAAATAATGAAAGCAATTTCAAAATAAAAGAGAAAGTGATTAAAAATGAAACTTAAAAAAAAACAAAACGATTTTTGTAACTAGTGAAAACACCAAAACTGAGAGAAATGTCAGCCTTCAATGATCGACCTAGACTGAACGCTCAGAGGGGAAATGTATGGAGCCCTGAAAGGCGAATGAGAAGAACAATCCATGTGTTATTACTCGTGTAACATTGGCTCTTTTTACTTGTATGAGTAACTTAAACTTTAATAATACTGCAGTACAGAACTTCAGTGAATAATTGAAGAACAGATTATGACAAACACATTTTTATGAACAATCCCTCGGATGAATGCGACTTGTCACCAATTCCATGCACCAACACAAAACATGGAAAACAAGGACAGTGCCCTCGGATTGGCAGACTAAGGTGGTGAACCAAGGGATCATAAACCTCAGCCTCCATAGGGAAGCTACACCACTGTCCTGGTATGTCTAAGTATCACAAGTATTGGATGTTATCGTACGTGCATTTCTGGTGGACTCTCTTTCTGTTTTACCTAGAGTTGTGATTTGCATCTCATGGTGGTTTTGTCTTTATCTCCTGTTACCTCTGGCTCTCTTCCACTGCATGTCTTTCCTCCTCTCACCCCACCCGGTCACCACAGATGGCCGCCCCTCCCTGAGCCTGGTTCTGCTGGAGGTTTCTTCCTGTTAAAAAGATGTTTTTCGTTCCCACTGTCGCCAAACTGCTTGCTCATAGGGGAGCAAGGATAATCCATATGATTGTTGGGTTTTTCTCTGTATGTATTATTGTAGGGTCTACCTTACAAAATAAAGCACCTTGTTGTGATTTGGGGCTGTATAAATAAAACTGAATTAAACTGAATTGAACAGGTGACAGCGAGTTCTCATTTGCAATAAACTGTAGAGTAGGTTTCAGAGTAAGAGGTTTTATGTTGCAAATCCCACATCCCACTTAAAATAAATCCCACTTAAAATAAATGTCTCAATTGAGTAACTGGTTGCTTGTTTTTAGGTGTTCACAGGATCCAAATCCCACAAAGACGAAAGGTACAGATACATTTTACGCCTGTTCAGTTCTGTTGAGAATTACAATGTGAAACAAAGGATTATAAAGTACTTTTTCCCATTTATCTGTTCCAGAAGTTCTTCATTGTCATGCAAAGTGTGTTTTATCCAGATGATCGCATCAATGCCAGGTAAGCTTGGAAGGATGTCCTTTACAAGCATCCATATGCGACAAGTTGAAGTTGACTATTGCTCAGGAACTGCAAACCTTCCGATCTCTTACAAACAGACCAGCACATGCTTGCATGGCTTTGGATGCTGATGCGACAGGTGCTGTCCGTGACTCTCTTGTGACTTTTTTTTCACGCTTGCACTTTTTAGACATTTACTTTGTAGTGCCTTCTATGCATTATATACCAGGGATTGGGTTCACCTATACCAGGTGAACCTTGTTCCTGGAACTTTTGGGTCACGTTTCGATGGTCCAAGCCTCTAGCAGAACCTTGAAAACATCCAGTTATGCCTTTTTTGTGTTGTCAGGTATGACATTAAGGGCTGTGAGGTGAGTCGCTGGACAGAGCCTGCACCAGAGGGAAGCCACATCATCGTGGTTCTCAAAGACCTCAACTTCGAGGGCCAGTTCATCACTCTGGGTAAGAGCATTTATGTATTCTGGGTATAAGTTCAAAAGGTAGCATTATTGCACCTTCTTCCAGGCCTGTCACCGCAGTATCTCACTGCAAATGTCATGTCCATGTGCCGGAGTAACAATTAAATACCAGTTTTTGTGTCAGTATTGTGTTTTTCGAGCTGTGCGTTGTTTAATTGTTTAGACCAGCAGCGTTCCTGGCTCCTGCGACAGGTGGAAATTGACACACACTTCCTTCGCCAGCTCAACGTGTTGGACTACAGCCTTCTCCTGGCTCATCAGCCCCTACACCATGACGAGCGCCACCAGGGCCTCTCCTTTGCTACGCTCATCGTAAGAGCAAAAAAGTACGTTTTAGTACCCTGATTTTCATTTTTGTTGCATTTAGAGAGTTCTGATTGCGTATTAATTTTGGGAGGATTCCAGCAATTTTAAAACACTGAAAAGTGATGAACTGCTTCAATTCTTCATGATTCAACAAGGTGTTAGAAACATTCCTCTGAGACTTTGGTCCATATTGACATCACACATCACACAGTTGCTGCAGCTTCAATCCAAATGTCACAGCAGAAACCAAACTTCATCGAACCACGCAACGTTTTTCTATCCAAGCATGAAACCTGGTGTGCTCTCCTGCTGCTGCATCTGCTTCAAGATTCAACATGTGTGTTCAGAGAGGGTTTTGTTTTTTTTTTGGTTTATTTGGTTTGGTTTTTTTTTTGGGTTTTTTTGTTGCCTTCCTATCAGGTCAAAGCAGTCTGGCAATTCTCTTTTGCCAGCCTCATTAACAGGACATGTTTATCCAGAGAACTGCCTGGCACTTGATATTTTCTCTCTCTTCTCAGACTATTCTCTGTAAACTCTAGATATGGTTGTACGGGAAAATCTCAGCAGCTAAGCAGTTTCTGAAACTCTCAGATCAGCCGGTCTGGCACTAATGGCACTGCCTCATTCAAATTCCCTATCCTGATGCTCGGTTTAATCTTCAAAAGGTTTACGTACCTAAATGCACAGAATTTCTGCCATGTTAGTTGCAAATTAAACATTTTTTAAACATGGCTGTTAAAATGTTGGGTAACGCGTCGTGAGAATTGCACTGCATCACTGTTTTAGGAAACCTGAGACTTCTGTCTCAGCCAGTGCTCTTTGAACTAACAACCACAGAAAGTACAGAGAGCCTCACCAGCAGACTGGGTTTGGTTTGTTTCTTTGCTGACATTACAATAAATATAGATAAATCTCTTAACACCAGATTTATCCATACAATAACAAATACCTGCAGTCATGACAACATAAGAGAAAACAATCAGAAACAACTCGCTGGCCGAATGTTTTTTTTTTTTCATTCCTAAAATAAAAGTGGAACATCAGGAGCATCAGACACCTCGTCCTAAGCCAGAAATTGTAATTTCCATTAGTGTGTGACGCATGCTGCTTCATCACTCACTCACATCCAGAGCAGTGGGCTGGGCTCCCAGACTAAGCTTCCTGCATAGGGTCCTGTTGCAGAATTCCTCCACTTAAGTTTTTTTTTTTTTCACTCTGCTTTAAATTAGAAGAAAACTGAGTCATTACTGGTTTTGTTCAGTTACAGACTGTAGACACAGCTTCAGGCGAATATAAAATTCACACACTGAGTCATGGCTGCCTTTTTGTTTTTGGCCCACGATATGCTTGATATCTGGCTTCAATTCAAGCACAAGCCCTGAATCACAGAATAATATAATGCATGTGGAGCTCAAATATTTACACTGAATATTTTGTATTTGAATTGCATGCAAACTATTTAGCTACCCCTTGATATGTATCTAACTGTTATATTTCATTTATTTGGGTTTATTAGAGTTGTTATTTGTATATTTAGGTTTCTCAAATCAATGTGCGTGCCTAATAAGAATTATAATAAATATTTTGATGTCCATTAGTAGAAATGGGCCTTCATGGTCAGTGTCTGAGGTCTTCTTCCCCAAGCTATAAAGCCTGCTTCATTTAGCCCTGTAAAGTCTGACTGATATGCCTCTAAGCTCTTTGTTGCTTTTCTCTTGAACATATGTTTGCATGATGATATAGAGCCAATATTCTAACTAATAATTAAACTTTTTGTAATTAAAATAAACAAGGGTTAGTTAGATTTAATTCCTGGTTGAATTTATAACTTTACTCGCTTAGAAAGAAATTAACAGATTCTAACTTTTATGGTACTTTTAATTTTAATGGAGAGAGACAGGATATCAAAAATACCAAAAAGCCAGGAAAAAAAAACCTATTACATAAACATTATAAATTGATTTGCATGTCATTGAGTGGCTCATCCAAATTTCAATTCGTCATGTTCCTAAAGCACCCCTGTCATTCCAACCTCTCCAACACTGTGATAAAGACCAAAGAGCTGACAAAGGGAGTCAGGGACAAGACTGTAGACATGCTTAAGGCTGGAAGGGGGGGAAAGGGCCATCAGCAAGAAGCTTGGTGCCGAGGTGACCAGTATTGATCCGATTATACGGTAATGGAAGAAATATGAAATGACCATTAGTGGCCCTGGGTCTGGAATGTCATGCAAGATTTTGCCTCATGAAGGGAAGATGATCTTTAAAAGGTGGTGGATGACCCAAAACCTAATGACAGGAACTTGTTAATGATCAGGTGACCACCTACACTAAATGCCTTACCTCTGTGCTTGTCAACAAGGGTTTCTGCACTACTTCTGTGGTGAATCTTTGTAGACCTTGCAACGTAACTGACATTAATAGCTGACACCATTACCAGGATTCATGCTTTTCTGTGATGTTTTATGTGTTAATTACTTTGTGGTTGTGTCCCACAGCTTCATCTGTCCTTATACTAAAGTGATGACTCTTATTCTCTGTGTTTTTGATGTACCTGTGGTCTGTAAGTCCTCAGTGGTGGACTCTGCTCTTAAGGTGATTTGTTTGCATTTATAAAATGTTTTTTAGTGACTTAGCAATCAAAAATATAATCATTCTACCTAAAATACATTAGAAACATGACGTTTTGGTTTACCATGTGAGTGGTAAACCAAATGCCTTACCAGCCCCAACCCTAAACCCAAATCAATATTAAAAAGCATTTTTAGTAACTAATTAGGTATGTAATCTCTGCATACCAGCCCCAACAGTAGTTTCTAAATCTGTTGGAAACTCCGTCATCAGTCTCTCCTGACATTTTTTCCAAAGCTGGTAGGGTTTGGTGTGTTTTACCGCAGCTGTTTAAGCCCTGACTACAAAGCACCATATAAAAGATTTGATAAAGCCAACTTTTAGTGAAGGTGAATATCAAGACCTCAACTATAAAAACAGAAATTAGCATAGCTTCCAAAGAAACTGTGAATGTATAAATGTCTTAAAGTTAAATCAAAACCAACAGGTCATTAGCAGCTCATTTGCAGTTAAAGTTAGAGCTAGGGTTACGTTCAGTTTTTTCTTTTCAGTTTCTGAAATTGGCACCAGTGCCCAGTTTTTGAAATATAAATAGCTGCAAGTGCACAATCACGACTGTGTGTCTCACTTAGACACTCAGACACTGAGCCATGTGCTAATTGCACACATTTCTGCATCTCTGCCATTCAAAGAGACTGTGTATATAGTTTATTGTGTGAATGCCGTGAGGCCCGGGTTCAAATCCTGCTTATGGCAACAATTTTTTCAGTTAACAGTTCAACCTTTTTAACTCTTTTCAAAATAAATTTCAACTTCTTCACCCCTTTGCAGCACAAATTCCAGATTCTTCAGCTGTTTTCAGCAAAACCCTCAGCTTCTTTACCTCTTTTCAGCACAAAGTTCTGCTTCTTTACACCTTTTCAGAAGAAACTTTTTCTTCTTTACCTCTTTTCAGCAGAAGTTTCAGCTTCTTGGCCTGTTTTCAGCAGAACTTTCAGTATCCTCATCTCTTTTTAGCAGAACGTTCAACAGGTTCACCTCTTTTCAGCAGACAGTTCAGCTTTTCCCACCTCTTTTCAGCACAAATCTAAGCCTCTTCTGCTCTTTTCAGCAGATTTTTCAGTTTCTCCATCTCTTTTTTGCTGAAAATTCAGCTTTTTCACCTCTTTTCAACACAAATTTCAGTTTCTTCACTGCTTTTGAGCACAAAGTTCTGCTTCTTCACCTCTTTTCAGCACAATTCAGCTTCTTCTGCACAGTGCACATTTTTTCTCTCATCATATCGTTGCTTGGGAGTAGAACTGGTTTGGCTTACTGGGATGAGTAGCCGCTGTGAGACCCAGTGGCGAAGTTTCGAATCCTACCTGTGGGGGTTGCCGCACATCTTCCCTGCTTGCATGCACACTGCTTTCTTATCACTCTGCAGTATACCCTTTCAAATACAGCCATCTTCAGCAAGCACTTCAGCTTCTACACTTCTGTTCAGCAGATAATTCTGCTTCTTCAGCTGTTTAGCAGATTCCACTACATGGCATTCACACTTTCCCAGGAAATGCAACTGTTTCTAGTTTTATGTAATATTCAGTACTGAACTTAAAACTTTTCAAGGAATCAATTTATCATTCAGTGTTTTCATAAAAGCCTTATTTTTACACAAACGAGGTTTAAGGCCTGGAGAAGTTTGAAGCTTTTTGTCCTCCACAATGGAAAATGGCTAAAAATAAAAAGCCACTTTAGCCACCTCCTAATTTTATTAATTCTGTGCTCAGCTTTGAGTCTCTAACATCATTAAAACATAGCCGCTACTGCTCATTTTACATTTTTCGCTTGTGTTTTCACTCTTTCCCAACATGCTCAAATCTCTAGAATCATATATGTCCAAATTCCTTTGGAAAAATATGCCCCCACATATAAGCTTAAAAACACTACAAAAGACCAAGGATAAAGGAGGATTAGAACGACCTAACTTTCAGCACTACTTCTTAGCCAACAGGCTTCAGTTTATCTCAGGATGGCTAAAACATACCCTCTTAGATGAACCTTGGCTAGATGTAGAAAAAGCACTTTGCAATAATCTAGAGATTTCAGATCTACCATTTATCAGCTCAAACATCCAATGACATGAATGCTTCAAAAGCGTCAACATCAGCTCTTCTCTGACAGCATGGTGGGAGTTTCTAAAAATAACGGAGCCTTCATTAATCCCATGCAAACGTACACCTATCTGGAACAACCCTGACATATTACAAAACAATAATATGATAAACTTTTCAGATTGGAGTGGTAAAGGAATCAAATATGTAGAACATATACTAGAAGGAACAGAATTTATTTCATTTGACAGACTAGTTACACAATATGGGATCAACAAGAAAAGATTTTTAGAATATCAACAAATTAAATCCATAATAAACTACAAACACCACCAAGTGTGGTTCAATTTCTTACTCTTAAAACCCCCAAATTACTATCCAAAATATACAGAATGCTTTCTAAAACAGATGAATCAATATCACTTCCTATGGCAAAATGGGAAGCGGATTTATCAGTTAACTTAGACCAAAACTTCTGGTCTCAGATTTGCTTAAAAACCTTTCATCTAATCAGAAATCCCAGAAATCGCTGCTGCACTGGGCCCCAGTCTGGATGGGCCTGGGCCCACTTTCCCTGGCGGGTCGCGGAGTATGTGGGTGCCTACTGGGGCCAGCGGGGGAGCTGACCCCAGCTCCACCACAACCACCGACACATGCAGGGCCTTGGAGTAGGGGTGTGTCACCAGCGTGCAGAGGAGGCATCGCCCCCCTCTGTCCCTTTCTGGCTGCCTCTGCCTCAATTTTATCCCACAACTCAGACATTCACATTACTCACACTCTCATTACACATACATTTCATTTCATTTCATTTTTATTTATTTCACACTTGGTACTACAAACAAAACAACCACATCTTCTATCAACAAAACACAACAACCATGTGTGAAAAGGAGCAGGAAGAAGAAAATATTCTTATCAAGCCCTGCCCCCTATCTACCATCGAACTTATATCACCGGTGGGCACCTATACATATAGGATCTTGGGGGTGGGCACGCTACACGGAATCCAAATTATCATCAGGGTGTACACCTCACCCCTGGCGTCGTTGCCCACCTCTCAATTTTAAATACACGTAGACATTGAGGGCTAGCAGGAGGGACGTTACTACAGCCTTCTCCTGGCTCATCAGCCCCTACACCATGACGAGCGCCACCAGGGCCTCTCCTTTGCTACGCTCATCGTAAGAGCAAAAAAGTACGTTTTAGTACCCTGATTTTCATTTTTGTTGCATTTAGAGAGTTCTGATTGCGTATTAATTTTGGGAGGATTCCAGCAATTTTAAAACACTGAAAAGTGATGAACTGCTTCAATTCTTCATGATTCAACAAGGTGTTAGAAACATTCCTCTGAGACTTTGGTCCATATTGACATCACACATCACACAGTTGCTGCAGCTTCAATCCAAATGTCACAGCAGAAACCAAACTTCATCGAACCACGCAACGTTTTTCTATCCAAGCATGAAACCTGGTGTGCTCTCCTGCTGCTGCATCTGCTTCAAGATTCAACATGTGTGTTCAGAGAGGGTTTTGTTTTTTTTTTGGTTTATTTGGTTTTTTTTTTTTTTTGGGTTTTTTTGTTGCCTTCCTATCAGGTCAAAGCAGTCTGGCAATTCTCTTTTGCCAGCCTCATTAACAGGACATGTTTATCCAGAGAACTGCCTGGCACTTGATATTTTCTCTCTCTTCTCAGACTATTCTCTGTAAACTCTAGATATGGTTGTACGGGAAAATCTCAGCAGCTAAGCAGTTTCTGAAACTCTCAGATCAGCCGGTCTGGCACTAATGGCACTGCCTCATTCAAATTCCCTATCCTGATGCTCGGTTTAATCTTCAAAAGGTTTACGTACCTAAATGCACAGAATTTCTGCCATGTTAGTTGCAAATTAAACATTTTTTAAACATGGCTGTTAAAATGTTGGGTAACGCGTCGTGAGAATTGCACTGCATCACTGTTTTAGGAAACCTGAGACTTCTGTCTCAGCCAGTGCTCTTTGAACTAACAACCACAGAAAGTACAGAGAGCCTCACCAGCAGACTGGGTTTGGTTTGTTTCTTTGCTGACATTGACAATAAATATCAGATACATCTCCTTAACACGCCAGCCATTTATCCATACAATAACAAATACCTGCAGTCAATAGACAAATAAGAGAACAACAATTCAGTCAAACAACTGCGCTGGCCCGATATGTTCTTTTTTTTTTCATTCTAAAATAAAATGGAACTCAGGAGCATTCAGACACCTCCTCGTCCGTAGCCAGAAATTGTAATTTCCTTATGTGATGTTGACAGCATGCTGCTCTCATCACACTCATCAGTCAGACATCCAGAGCAGTTGGGCTGGGGCTCTCCAGAGCTAAGCTTCCTGCGATAGGTCCTGTTCGCAGAATTCCTGCCACTTAGTTTTTTTTTTTGTTCATCTGCTGCTTAAATTAGAAGAAAACTGAGTCATTACTGGTTTTGTTCAGTTACAGACTGTAGACACAGCTTCAGGCGAATATAAAATTCACACACTGAGTCATGGCTGCCTTTTTGTTTTTGGCCCACGATATGCTTGATATCTGGCTTCAATTCAAGCACAAGCCCTGAATCACAGAATAATATAATGCATGTGGAGCTCAAATATTTACACTGAATATTTTGTATTTGAATTGCATGCAAACTATTTAGCTACCCCTTGATATGTATCTAACTGTTATATTTCATTTATTTGGGTTTATTAGAGTTGTTATTTGTATATTTAGGTTTCTCAAATCAATGTGCGTGCCTAATAAGAATTATAATAAATATTTTGATGTCCATTAGTAGAAATGGGCCTTCATGGTCAGTGTCTGAGGTCTTCTTCCCCAAGCTATAAAGCCTGCTGTCATTTAGGTCTCCTGTAAAGCGTCTGACTGATATAGCCCTCTAAGTGTTGTTGGCTTTTTCTCTTGAAGCATATGTTTGCATGAATGATCATAGAGCCATATTCTAACTAAGTAATGTAACTTTTTGTTAATTAAAATAACACAGGGTTTAGTTGATTTGACATTCCTTGGTTGAATTTTAACTTTACCTCGCTTAGAAAGAATAACAGGAGTTCTAACATTTATGGCTTTTAATTTTAATGGAGAGAGACAGGATATCAAAAATACCAAAAAGCCAGGAAAAAAAAACCTATTACATAAACATTATAAATTGATTTGCATGTCATTGAGTGGCTCATCCAAATTTCAATTCGTCATGTTCCTAAAGCACCCCTGTCATTCCAACCTCTCCAACACTGTGATAAAGACCAAAGAGCTGACAAAGGGAGTCAGGGACAAGACTGTAGACATGCTTAAGGCTGGAAGGGGGGGAAAGGGCCATCAGCAAGAAGCTTGGTGCCGAGGTGACCAGTATTGATCCGATTATACGGTAATGGAAGAAATATGAAATGACCATTAGTGGCCCTGGGTCTGGAATGTCATGCAAGATTTTGCCTCATGAAGGGAAGATGATCTTTAAAAGGTGGTGGATGACCCAAAACCTAATGACAGGAACTTGTTAATGATCAGGTGACCACCTACACTAAATGGCTTACCTCTGTGCTTGTCAACAAGGGTTTCTGCACTACTTCTGTGGTGAATCTTTGTAGACCTTGCAACGTAACTGACATTAATAGCTGACACCATTACCAGGATTCATGCTTTTCTGTGATGTTTTATGTGTTAATTACTTTGTGGTTGTGTCCCACAGCTTCATCTGTCCTTATACTAAAGTGATGACTCTTATTCTCTGTGTTTTATGTCTGTGGTCTGTAAGTCCATCATTGTGGTGGCTTAGTCTACAGCGTATCTTGTTCTGCATCCGTTATAAAATGTGTGTCTTGTCAGTGACTTTTGCATCAAAATGAGTAATCTGTCGTACTAAATACTCAGTTACGAACTGACTTTTGGTTGACTATTGTGGCTGGTAAACAAAAAATCATGACATAAAATCATCCCTTAATACATGCAGAACCGCTCATTTACCCATGGGTAAAGCTTACACCCCCTAAACTCAATATTTAAAAAGCATTTTTAGTAACTAAATTATGTATGTAATCTCTGCATACCAGCCCCAACAGTAGTTTCTAAATCTGTTGGAAACTCCGTCATCAGTCTCTCCTGACATTTTTTCCAAAGCTGGTAGGGTTTGGTGTGTTTTACCGCAGCTGTTTAAGCCCTGACTACAAAGCACCATATAAAAGATTTGATAAAGCCAACTTTTAGTGAAGGTGAATATCAAGACCTCAACTATAAAAACAGAAATTAGCATAGCTTCCAAAGAAACTGTGAATGTATAAATGTCTTAAAGTTAAATCAAAACCAACAGGTCATTAGCAGCTCATTTGCAGTTAAAGTTAGAGCTAGGGTTACGTTCAGTTTTTTCTTTTCAGTTTCTGAAATTGGCACCAGTGCCCAGTTTTTGAAATATAAATAGCTGCAAGTGCACAATCACGACTGTGTGTCTCACTTAGACACTCAGACACTGAGCCATGTGCTAATTGCACACATTTCTGCATCTCTGCCATTCAAAGAGACTGTGTATATAGTTTATTGTGTGAATGCCGTGAGGCCCGGGTTCAAATCCTGCGGTGTGTGATGTGCGTATGTCACGAAGTGTAGTCCTGTTCGTAGTGATAGCGAACTTAGCGTTTTTAAGCAGTTTCACTTTTTCTTCACAAATAAATTTCATACTTCTTCACCCCTTTGCAAGCACAAATTCCAGATTCTTCAGCCTGTTTTCAGCAAAACCCTCAGCCATTCTTTGACCATTCTTTTTCTAGCACCCAATTTGCATTCTTTACCCTTTCAGAAGCTTTTCTTACCTTTTCAGCAGAATGTTTCAGCTTCTTGGCCTGTTTCAGCTAGAATTTTTCAGTTTCTTCATCCTCTTTTTAGCATAGACCACGTTCAACAGGTTACCTCTTTTCAGAGCAGTTCGCTTTTCCCCTTTTCAGGCACAATTAGCCTCTTCGTGCTCTTTGTCAGCAGATTTTTCAGTTTCTCCATCGTCTTTTTTGCTGAAAATTCACTTTTTCACCTACTTTTCAAGCACAAATTTCCAGTTTCTTCACGTGCTTTTGACGCACTAAAGTGCGTCTGACGTCTTCACCTCTTTTCGCACAATTCAGCTTCTTCTGGCGACAGTGCAATGTTTTTCTCTCATCATATCGTTGCTCTGGGAGTAGAGACTGGTTTGGCTTATGGATCGAAGCGCTGTGAGACCTCAGTGGCGAAGGTTCTCGAATCTACCTGTGGGGTTGCCGCACATCTCCCTGCTTGCATGCACGACTGCTCTTCTCTATCACCTGCAGTATACCCTTTCAATACACGCCACCTCTTCAGCACAGCACTTCAGCTTCTAACACACTTCTTGTTCAGATCAGATAATCTCTGCTTCATTCTAGCTGTTTAGCAGAATTCCACTACATGGCAATTCACAGTTTTCCCAGGAAATGCACTGTGTTGCTAGTCTTTATGTAACTATTCAGATATGAACTTAAAACTTTCAGGAGATCGAATTTATCATTCAGTATGTTTTCATAAAGCCTATTTTTCACAAACGGTAGGTTTAAAAGGCCTGGAGAAGTTTGAGAAGTTTTGTCGCTCTCACAATGCGAAAATGGCTAAAAATAACAAAGCCACTTTAGCGCACCTCCTAATGGTTGTATTGAATATCTGTGCTCAGCTTTGAGTCTCTAACATATTAAACAGATAGCCGCTACTGCTCATTTTAACATTTTCGCGTTGTGTTTTATCTCCTTCTCCCAACATGCTCAATCTCTAGATTCATGTATTCCAAATTCCTTTGTGAAAAATATAACTGCCCCACCTATCAACTTAAAAACACTCACAAAGACGCAATGGATAAAGCGCAGACTAGAACGCCTATACTTTTCGCACACTTCTTAAGCCAACAGCTTCAGTTTATCTCAGGATGGCTGAAAAACATACCTCCTTAATGAACCTGGCTAGATGTAGAAAAGCACTTTGCAATAATCTAGAGATTTCAGATCTACCATTTATCAGCTCAAACATCCAACGACATGAATGCTTTAAAAGCATCAACATCAGCTCTTCTCTGACAGCATGGTGGGAGTTTCTAAAATTGACGGCGTCTTCATTAATCCCATGCAAACGTACACCTATCTGGAACAACCCTGACATATTACAAAACAATAATATGATAAACTTTTCAGATTGGAGTGGTAAAGGAATCAAATATTTAGAACATATACTAGAAGGAACAGAATTTATTTCATTTGACAGACTAGTTACACAATATGGGATCAACAAGAAAAGATTTTTAGAATATCAACAAATTAAATCCATAGTAAAAAAGAAATTAATCAAGAACTACAAACACCACCAAGTGTGGTTCAATTTCTTACTCTTAAAACCCCCAAATTACTATCCAAAATATACAGAATGCTTTCTAAAACAGATGAATCAATATCACTTCCTATTGCAAAATGGGAAGCGGATTTATCAGTTAACTTAGACCAAAACTTCTGGTCTCAGATTTGCTTAAAAACCTTTCATCTAATCAGAAATCCCAGAAATCGCTGCTGCACTGGGCCCCAGTCTGGATGGGCCTGGGCCCACTTTCCCTGGCGGGTCGCGGAGTATGTGGGTGCCTACTGGGGCCAGCGGGGGAGCTGACCCCAGCTCCACCACAACCACCCACACATGCAGGGCCTTGGAGTAGGGGTGTGTCACCAGGGTGCAGAGGAGGCATCCCCCCTCTGTCCCCTTCTGGCTGCCTCTGCTCTTTACCCCCCCATTCAATTATCTCTCATCACATCATTTCATTTACATTTTTTTTCCAGGACCAAAAACACATCTTTCCAACACAACCATTGAACAAGAGAATATCTTCAAGCCCCCTACTACCATCATATCAGGTCACCATACATATAGGATCTTGGGGGTGGGCACGATACACGGAGTCCAAATTACCATCAGGGTGTACACCTCACCCCTGGCGTCGTTGCCCACCTCTCAATTTTAAATACACGTAGACATTGAGGGCTAGCAGGAGGGACCATGCGCTTACCTGCTGCTCTCTGGCAGGTAGCTCCATGCCCTCCTGGGTTTTAAATGCACCTTAGAACACACATGCATCAACACTACAATGAGCGGGTGGAGGGAGGTTTGGAGTCTTCTCTCACCCCCATTCTCTGCGACCTGCTGGAGCGGGGGGGCTAGGAGGAGGAGTTGGCCGTCCGACTGCGGTCTGGAGTGTGGAGCCTTCCTGCTGCTGCGGAGTCGGGGCGGTCTGCCTCCCCCCACCGCAGGGAAAAGGGAAACACCACCTGGGTCTGGGTGCAGTTCCCCCTCCAGGGGCAGGGCACCTAGACCCGGTTTGTAGAGTACGCTTGGGGAGTGTGATCGTGTGTACAACGTCTCTTTATGTCTGTCTCCACGTTGGTTGAGTGTGGAGTAAGTGCATATGAGAGCATGAGGGTGGGAATGGATGTTTGTATCTGTGTGTGCCTGTATGTCTGTGTCTATATGTCAGGTTGGGTAGTCAGCGCCACCTCTCTGGGGACATCTCAGGCCCTCCAAGGTTTGGAGGCCTATCTCCCCCCCACCACTTCCCCTGCCGGTGGCGGACTCCCTCAGACATCGGTTCGGTTGTGTCCGGGGATGGGCGTCCGGGTACACACCGGCTCACTCCTTGGCGGCGCTTATCGGGGCCTGGAGCCTGGGGCTCGCTCGGGCCACTTCGGAGGTGGGGTGCCCCCGGCCTCTCGGCCTGGGGCTCGGTCACTCAGGCACAGCTGGCTGCCGGCGGAGCTCACGGGCGCGTCACTGCAACTCCCCCTGGCTTCTGCTCCGCGGCTGCTGAGTGAGCCCTCATCTGGGACTCTCCTCAGCTCTTTCTGGGACAGTGGCGCGGCTGCCCCTCTGTTGGTCTTCCTTGGTCTCTTGTGTTCTGGGGGCCTCTGGATGTCTGGAGTTTTGATCTCCTCCATACCTGCTTCATGCCCTGGAGGACGGGGCTGTGGCCCCCCCACACCCTCTAGCAGATCATTACATGAAGGAACCTTTTAAAAAAACAAGCGCGTCCATGCTCACAGGTGTACACACGGGTGATCACACCCACAAACTACACCCTTTTTGGCTCCTACCTCAAAGCACACTGTGTTCTGTTGATCTTATGTGCTGCACAATAATGTTTAATATTTAGTATTTACTGTCATATTCCCATATATCATTGTGATGTTGTTTATTCTATTACTCTTGTTCTCTTCTGCTTGTTTTCTTTTTTCTTTCTCAACAGGTGATCCAGGTGATCGATATATGATTTTTTTTTCTGCTTCTGTTGGTTTTTGTTTTTTGCCCTTCTCCCCCGTCCCTCTTCTCAGCTGTTTCTCTTTCCCTCTTTCTTTCTCCCCTTCTTTCCCCCAGTCAAGTCTGTCCCGTATTCAGCAAGTGAAAATAAAATAAACAATAAAAGGTGAATCAAATGGACCATTAGGCAAGGCTGGGATGGTCAATTTGGTAAAGTAAATCCGTTGGGCATCTTTCTTTGCCTTTAGACAATAATTCTGATGGCAAAAG